TTTGGAAGAATTAAATTTAATATTATAACATTTATCACATAATTGACTAATACTTAGCAAATTATGTTTGAGGTTATCTATCGATGGCACGTTTTCAATAGAAGGAGATAAGTGATTACCAATGTTGCCAATGCTAATAATTTTTCATTTTGCGTTGTCTCCGAATGTTACATGACCTCCATCCTTCTTTTTGAAGTTTGATAGTAGTGATCGATCTCCGGTCATATGTTTTGAACATCTACTATTCAAGAACCATTTGCTCTTCGTAGCTCATAACAGCCTTAGCGGCAAGTTGGTAATGGCAGTTTTGTTAATATTCTTTTTGGGAACGCTTTTATCCAAATGCAAGTTGATCACCCTTGGATACCCGTGGCTGAACCTATATATGGTTCTACTATGGATTGCTTGATCCCAATGTGACAAATTATGTGGACAGTTGTGCTCGACGAAGAGCAATTGCATTTCAAGGATACATGAACTTCTTCGTCATGAATAGTAAATCTGCATACAACGAATCTTAAGAAGACCTGCTTTGAAAAGATGTTGATATCATAGCTTCCTTAGTGTTATATGGTCTTCTAATTGTTTCTTCTTATCCTTTCTCTCTCTAATTCTTGGAATGGAAATAGATGTTGATTTTTGTACACATAATTAAAACACGTATGTTTTCACGCATCTATGAGAAGATTGATAGTCACATTTATGCATAGTCTAAAGTCACAGTTTCACAATATACATCAAAGAAACTTAAAAATGAACCAATAAATTGGAACATATATTGCATTTTTAGAGACATTGAGGAATGTTAATCTTATTTAAACATACTCTATAGAATATGGAAACACCAAAGTGATGCATAGAACATTTTTAAAAAGAAGATTATAATCCTAAAAATATTGCAGCAAGTGCGAATTCGAATATTATCTTATTAGATGTTAAAGATTGAAATAAGCAAAAATATTAATTCCAGAGAAATAACAATCAACATTCTTGTGGGTATAATAACAAATATACAAGAGCTGAAAAGGTGTAAACTACGCAAAATTCTATCCTCAAGCAAATCCCACATTATACAAACCACCATTATTACCAGGGAATTAGTTCTGATAGCCACCCCTCAATCTCCATTTGTGCAAAAGGCCTTTGACAAAATTTTCTAAAATAAAATAAAATTTAATTATTTAAAAGTATGAAAAGACCATTTTAACCTTTCTTGTAAAACCAAATTGAAGAATGAATTGGGTCTTTCATTCACGTCAAAAATCACATTCTTCCCCAAATGAAAATTGAAAACCTTATTTTTCCTTAAATTCCTAAAAACTGTCTTCTTCTTCAAATTCCCAAAACTAGTTTTCTCCTTGACATCAAAAACCATATCTTACCCTTCTTGTGAGGGCAGCGATTGTGGAGGATTTTGAATTGAATGAAGACATTGATATCTAAATAGGCGGAGATTGTTGATGGAGAGAGGGGGTCTTGAGGTTCAAAATTTGTATTCTTCTTTTCCAAACCCATGATGAGCTCCCATTTAGGATTTTGGATATTCGAGTTCACAAAAATCCATACATTCGGTTAAATCAATGAAAGTTTTTTGTATTTTGAAATGTTAAGTTCATAGGAAATGGAACTTTGCAAAACTCTAGATATTATTCTAATTGCATCGGGACGTGTGAACGTGGAAAAATTTTAATACTCATTTCATCCCATGTTTATATATTATACACTTACTGTTATGGGTTTTCTCACAAAGGATGTTAATTGCCAAAAATGGAAGGACATTTCATCTAGATCCATAGGTTGCTTTTTATTATTTTTTGATTGATTGTATTGCTTGGTAAAGTTATTTTGTGGAAATTTGAGCTCCTCAGCAGTGGATAAATTGGGTTAAGTGGAATGATTGATGTTTTGTCTAATTACTATCTTGTTCACTTTTGTGTATTGGAATGATCTGATTTCATAGCATATGTTCTTTTTATAAAAGTGCTACATTCATGTTTGGCTAATGTTTATAGACTTTTTATAATTGGTAAAACTTGAGATTGACAAGCACTACCCACTTATTCAACACTCATTTCTACGTATTTATAATTTAATCGTCTATAAACACTTCCCAAACATAATGAAAATTGTTTGGTTAAATGAAGTTGTAAATTTACTACTGATTTAGAAGATCGTATTTGAATATTCCGGTTTTGTTTTATTTAATAACCTTGTCACTCATCTGTTTTGAAGATTAATGTGCCAATTTTCTATTTTGCCAGTGGTTATGGAAGTTATTGTTGCCATTTTGCTATTATGGTGGGGAAACTGTACATTATTTTCAATTACCAACTAACCAAAAGTGTTGTTTATCTCCGTCATCTGAAAAGACGGATCTATGCTTCTACTTTGTTTTGTCGTGCAGTGGACGGTAAAGGGTAGGGAAATATTGAATGTGGTACATCTATTTCTTACCTAACATGCTATGAATGGAAGTAAATATTTTTAGTGCCTATTTTACTATTTGGCACCTTGTAGATTGAGAGAATTTCTAAATTTATAAGGTATAAGAACAGTTTTCACAAGTGCATTGTATGGTATAATCGTACTCTATCCCTTCATTAATTACTATGTAATGGAATCCAGTGTTCACGTGGCACAATAACAAAATTACTTGTTGAAGTAATGCATGGAATATTCACTCTTAATTTTACAATATATACTGCAAAAGATTCTGCCTCTACAGGAGGTTATACTTTTGCTGATAAAATTGCATCACAAGTGATGACAAATATTATATTTGTTAGATACTGTATTATTTTAGTGTTGAGAACTAACATAACTGCACAACGGATTTGTAGATCTAACTGCGGGATATTCACTTTGAAGTACATATAATTTATGCAAGTAACCATGGATGTAAATGCAATTCCTTTGGATTGTGTACCGATGTGGCGAAAAAAATTGGCTGCAGAGTTGTTGGAATGGGACTTCGAGCATTGGATTGTTTTATGTTATTTCGTTTGATGTTTGTTGATGTTATGTAGTTACTTTGCTTTATTTGTCTAGGATAATTAAATTTAATTGAAATTTAAATATTTTAATTCTTTTGAAACTTTCAATTTTAAATATCATACATGTCCATGATACTAACATCGTTCCAGACCAATTAAATGATGTTTGGTCCTTATAAGAAAATATAACTACTGCTTCACATAATGACATAGACGTCATTCCTAAACACAAAACGATATTGATGTCATTTCAGTACAAAAATTGAACTGATTTACATAACAATGTTGAAATCATTCCTGAGACAAAACGATATTAATGTCATTTCAGTATGAAAATTTCACTGATTTACATAATAATATTGAAATTTTTCTTGAGACGCAAAACGATATTGATGTCGTTCTAGTACGAAAATTGCATAATGACATTAAAATTGTTCCTGAGATATAAAACGATATAGATGTCGTTTCAGTATAAAAACACATTGCTTTACTGATTTTCATAACGACATTGAAATCGTTATAAACCAATAAAACGATATAGAATTCGTTATGCTAAAAAGCTTGCACAGCGCGGGCGTGATGTGGGGAGCCATGCCCACGCATCCAAGGGACCATTTGCTCTCGGGTGGTAAATAACTCAAAAGCGAGAGTACACCAATATGGATCGTGTGCGTGCTCCAACTAAATTTTCTTGGAGTTGACATTTCAATCCCCAAACAATAAGTATCAAAGCCACAAAATAATACAATGACGTCCCTATTATTTCACCATAAATTTGGCGAGATTGAAATCTTTCCAGTTCAATACATAACGATATTGATATCGTTATATATTAATACCACAAAATAACATAACGACATCTATGTCGTTTTAGTACAAATTTGGCGAAATTGAGATCGTTCAAGTTCAAATCATAGCTACAATGACATGGATATCGATTCTTTTTATATAAATGACAATTATGTCATTTTAGCTAAAAATGATGATTCCACTGTCCATGATCACCCTTCATGCCTTTGACATACATTGGATGATCGAAAGAGGTCATCAAGTGGGTTCAATCTCACTCAAAATAAACTATGAGAACATTTGTATTCCTATAGTTGTCTATCACCTTCGAACTATTACTACAGAAAGAAAGTATCTCCATTCACTCTTTCTAAACCATTCGAGTAAGATCGAACCTACTTGATGACCTCTTTCGATCGTCCTACGTATGTCGAAAGCATGTAGGGTGATCGTGGACAATCAAATCGTCATTTTTAGCCAGAATGATATCATTGTCATTTTACATGAAAAGAACTTATATCTATATTGTTGTAGTTATGATTTGAACTTGAACGTTCTCAATGTCTTCAAATTTGTACAAAAACGACATGGATGTCGTTATGTTATTTCCATAATGATAAGTGTAATTTTTACACTTATTCGGGACCTAAAATAACTAAATTTGATAGTTCTTTTGACAAAATATATTCTAAATTGTTGTATTTTATATTTAATAGGTAAAACTATTTGAATGGAAAAAGAATTGAAAGAAGGAAGAAAGCAAAAAGTAGCAAAAAATGGCAAAATCTAAAGTACAAGGACTAACTTGCATTCCGTGTAAGAGTTGGGGATTTGGAAAGCAAACATTAATTAATTGAGTCTCAATTTGGATGGACCTTACTTAGATTAAAAATAATTAGGTTTTATGTGTGTGTGTGTGTGTGTATATATATATAGTTAAAAAAAATTTAAAACTGCCGCAGCCAAGAAAATGAAGGAGGAACAGAAATTACAAACTTTTTTGGTACTCACATACACGCAAACAGTGCCTGGAGAAGAAAAAGACAAAGCTTGGAAGATATATATATATAAACTCACAGAGACAGAGAAGACGACACAGGAAATTAAGGCAGTTTGGATTCTTGGATATATATATATATATAAGGCTTATAAAAATCCAAATTACTCAAGTCATTTGTCATATGGTGTGAGGCACCTGTGTCAGTGTGCCATGTTGGTTTAGAAAGATGCAAACCCGCGAAGGCCTGTGAAACATCCGAAGATGGAAAATTCCGTTGTAGACAAAACTTGGCAGAATGAAAAAAAATCATCACATATTTGGCATCTTGTGGCAGGAGGAGGAGCGCCTAAAACAGAAGATGACCATGGCCTAGGACCACCTTGAGGACGAGATTGATAATTCCCATAATAAGAACCACATTGATTATAGCCAAAGGATCGTGGTTGTTGATGGTTCGAAGTATACCCCCGAGAATAAGACTGGCGTCCTCCTCTCTGATAGTTTCCCCGATATGATCGAGGTTGATAACTACCACGTCGTCTAGTTGCCAACATAGCCTGAGCATTAGTGGAGTGGACAGCAGTGCCTTGTTGAAGGCGAGATTCATGGGCAAGAAGGAACGACCCTAACTCAAGAAAGATGGGCAATGGTTTCCTCGCTGTCATTACAGTCACAACATCGGAATATTCGAGTGGCAATTCTGATAAAATTTGCAATATCACATCATCATCATCAACTGGCCTTCAAATAGAGTGCAAAGAATCAACTGTGGATTTTATGAACCGAAGAAATTCCGCCATTGATTGAGTCCCTTTAGAAGCTTGATTGAAAGCCAACTTTAATTGCATATACTTGGCATTAACATGATCCTGGAATAATTTCTGAATTTCAAGCCAAGTCTGACGAGCAGAAAATTGTTTGCTAGGCTGAATAACATGTTTCAAGATCTCTGGAGAAATAGTAGCATGAAGCCAAGAGACAATAAGATGACCAATCTGAACCCATAAAGTATAAGCAGGATTTATTTGAGTAGAGGAGGAATCATCGTTATCAATGGAGATAGTTGGAGAAGGGCATTGAGAAGTTTCGTCAATATGATCATAGATCTGATAACAATGAAGAATATTGGTGAATAAGGTCTGCCACAATAAGAAATTGGTGAAATCGAGAACAATAGAAACATGATTTTTAATATTGCTAATGTTGAAAACAGAATGAGGCTGTAAAGAAAATGACTGGGAAGAAGAAGAGGAAGAAAATGAAGAAAGAAAAGAAGTAGGAGAAGATTGTGCGGTTGCCATAGGGAGAAGGAAATAAAATAATTAGAGGATCTGCTCTGATACCATAAAGAATGGAGAGTCTCTGCACCCATAAAGGATGGGTGCTCCCGTATTTATACAAGTATAGTGTGTATACAATTACAATAATATCCATGTAAAAGTGTAAATTACATTTATATACTCTATTATAGAAGTCATTCTATTTACCTGTCAAATAGATAGCAATACACTACATGTTTCGGAGTGCTCTTAGTGATAGGAGAAGGCATTTGAGAATTGAACTTACCAAACAGAAAAGGAAATGGAACCGCAAGTTTCAGTACGGGTTTCAAAAAAATAATTTAGGAATTGGAGCCAGGTCGATTATTGGTTCTTGAATTGGAACCGTAGGTACCCAACTTTAAAAATCGAATTTGTTATTTTTTATGAAGTTTTATTTTTTAAAATTTATTCAACCTAAACCAATAATGATGTCCTAACAAGTACAAGTTTCCAAGACTCAGCTAGTGATAGGTCCAAGTAGTACCTAATCAATCATATTCATTCATTTAAATAATTGAATAATTTCTCTTTCGTTCGCAGTCATTTCTAACTTCACTTTACACATTGTCCGTCTCACAAACCTTTCTTGAGGTTTCGCATGCAGAGTCACAACCGAAATCGGATGTTATTTTGCTAGGTATTGGATATTATTTGATGATATATTTGCATTGGATTAAGAAGTTATGAAATATTATTTTGTGATATATTTTATTTCTTATATTTCTACAAGACATTGGAAATATAATTGTTATTGCTAGTTTACAATTTATTTTTTTTAGAAAATGTTATGGATAGAATCGAATCTGAATCGACAATTTTGATTCAAGTGTGGTCTCAATAATTACGTGGGCCCGAATGGTTTAATTTATAAAATATCTGAAGTATAATTGGTGGTTCAGGTATTGAAATATTCGGACCGACCCATCTAATGCTCAAGCCTACTTAGAGAAACAAGAATTACAACAATTTTGTACACAACTTAGTTTTCTATCTCTCTCCTCTCTACATTAATTGCCAGAAATTTTCTCTTATTTAGAGCTCAATTAGAATATATTTCGCCAAGTTAAAATTTTTTTTTTTTTTTTTTGAAGATTGTCATAGAGTATCTTCAAAAGATTCTCCATTTATAAAGATTATTTCATGTATAATAGATGGCATTTATATAATTCGTTAGTAAAAAATTTTATGCACTCCAACTATACTCTTTATTTTGGCTCTTTATTTTTTTTTCAAGAAATATTTATTGATTTATCTTCCTCTTTTATTAAATTTTTTTTTTTTTAATATAACAATGGCAAATCAATTCAAATATAATTTGAACAATTTAAGAAATATAGTATTGAAATATGTTTAGCTTATAAATGCAATCATATAAAGTAAGCATTAATCAATGTGTATATCTTGAATGACATTAGATGATGTGTAAAAATCGAAACCATTAATTTAAATAAGTGTTGGAGAATCAATGACAAAATTGATTGTCACACTATGGAATGTCATTCAAGATGTTAATCAGAATGTAAGTATAAGAAAAATGATAAAGTGATAATAAATAGTGAGTTTGACTCTTCGAATTTTGAGAGTTAAACCCACTATATTTTAAAACATTAGAATAGAGAGTCCATTGTAATTTTTTTTTTAAAGTATCGACTCTTTAAAGTGGAAAGCAACTTATATTTTGGGAGTTTTTTTGGAGATCTTCTTAAAAAGTAGAGAAAAAAAGATGAATTTCATAGAATATTAAGTCGAAAATGATTCTAAGAAAAATAATTTTACAATAAATTTGGTCCAACAAACTCTTATAAACCACCTACTCTCTCTTTGTAAGGAATTAAGCTAGTTATACACTCATGGTGTACAACTAGTTTGACACCATTTGAGGTATCAAAATCGTGACCATTGATTTAAATAGGATAAAGTTACTTGTACACAAAAATGTGTACACTTTTGTTGACACCTCCTATGTGTCAACAATTTAGCCATTAATTGAAACAATCTTGCTACGGGCGTGTTCGGTAAAGATTAAAATTGGATTAAAATTGAAAAACTAGCCTTTATTGTTGACTTTTATTAGACGAGTGAGACCCAATAACGATCATATTTTCAATTAAAATTAGATTTTAATCCTGCGCAAACATGCTCTACATGTAAACATCCCTTTACACCTTAATTTATCGAATTTACATTTGGTACAATCTCACACTACCATTGACATCTCACACATTTAATTTAAGCGTTATAAAATTACCACATCATCCACCGATCAAGTGGTAAAGGAAGATGTAAAAATAGTTCTATCCCAATTGAAAAATGTATTGTTAAGATGAATGTACCGAAATTTATTAATTCACAGGGGTGTGAATCAAAGTGTAAACCATTGTGTACATGATTCTTTATATAAGTGTTGTTAAAATCAATGATAGAATTATGTGACATGTCAAATAGTATAAACAAAGCTGTCAACCATGATGTAAGTGTGGCAAAACTACTTTGTAAGACACCAAGTGAAAAAGACGACCTTATTTTTATATTTTTCTTTTCTATTTGTTATTTTTACAAAGGGTTCTTCTAGTATTTATGGATTAAACAAATAATCTTTTACCGAAAGGAATTTATAAAGCAAAATAGAAAAATAAAAATGTAAGAAAAACACACAGAATAGAAGCGCTTCACTAGATCTCTGTTCTACATCTACCTAGTGCTGCCAAAGAATTGCGTTATATGGAAGAAGAGAACTACAATGTATTATGAACTCACTTTTCTCTCTGTTTCTCTCTATCATGAAACACAGAATAAGAGCTCACCCTAGTATATCCTTTATATATGACAAAAATATTAGATCAACATATTACATATACAAATTCTCCAAAGTACCTCTATAATACTTAAAAAGTGTACATTAGGCTCCACACAACAACCTTTGGAACTTGTGGGTAGTTACACAATTACTAAATGATTTCTACTTTTCATTATTTGATGTTAGTAAATACTAAAATAAACTCTGTGGTGCCACATAATACCGTATGGTTAACAATTGCAAAACAATCATATTATATATACATCATTTTTTACATCATTGTTTATATTATGTCACGTGTTAACATCCCATTTGACAGTTCTAAAAAAAAAACACTTTTTCCGTCTACAATTTTTTAAACATAGGAAATGTCAACATGTAAGGGAAATAACGTACATTATTGACTGCAAAAATCTAAAGTTTCTAGGGATATCTTATTTTATTTCTATTCATTGACTACCAGTCTATTAATTAATTCCATCTCTGATTATTTCACCCAACTCTGATCCATGTTGATAGAAAAGGTAAAGGCAAAAAGTTCAAAATTCAAACTGTGGCCTGCAGGTTGTTGGATTCATTAAACTCCATCTTCTTAAACGAATACAAATGGAGAAATATAAAAGTACAAAACAGAAGCCAAAGAGACTAGTTTAAATGAGGGGTCATAAACTCAAGTGTCTATAATATCTCTGCTTATCATGAGTGTTGACATTTTTCATGGATTTGCAATGACATGCATTCCCATTTTGAAACCCTAAACTGTAACAGAAACACACAGACTGTGTAACACTGGGTGGCGATAATGTTTCAAAGGATTGGTCCTCAAATTGTTGTTTTTCTTGCTTCAACTGATCATTCAGTTTAATAGCAGATTTTTCATATGATTTGTGTAGACTAATGGAGAGTTCCAAGTTGATTTGTGGGTGCATTTCCTCAGACAATACACTTCTGCTATATGACTCTTCAGCTGAATCACTTCTAACCTTAAAACTGATACTGTTTTTCATCAAATCGTCTTCTGATACATTGATTGAGTGCAGGGAAAAAGTTTGAGCTATTTCTGAGAATTGGCTAAGATTTTTTTCTTGATTGCTTATCGAAATTTTTGTGTTCGGGTTTGGAGTTTTTATTGTTGAGTTGAGTGGTCTGTGTGTTTGGGGATCAATTCCCCGATTGAGGAGCTTTCTTTTTATGTGGGTATTCCAGTAATTCTTAATTTCATTATCTGTTCTTCCAGGCAAGCGTGCAGCAATAAGAGACCATCTGTATGGCATCAACAGAAGATAACTAAAACTTTAGAAAAATAAATAAATAAAAATATATAGGGAACAAGAAGAATCTAGGTAGCGATAGAGAATAAAGGACATGTAAGCCACTGTGTGTGTGTGTGAGAGAGAGAGAGAGAGTACTTGTTTCCAAGTAAGCTATGGAGGTTGATGATGAATTCTTCTTCTTCTTCAGTGAAATTTCCTCGCTTAAGATCCGGCCGGAGATAGTTTATCCATCGAAGTCTGCAGCTTTTTCCACACCTAAGTAAACCTGCCCAAAATAAATTAGAAAATCAAGAACTTGTAAAATTCATGCATACACATATTAATACAGAACCCCTAGTCTCTCTCTCTCTCTCTCTCACAAACACACACACACACACTAACAAACATATCTATAGGCAAAAGGGGATTTAATGATTCAAACCTGCAGCTTTAGGAAGGGACCTCCAACAACCCTCACCATGTTGTTTGATGTAGTTAATAAGGCGTTCATCTTCTTCCTTTGTCCATGCCCCTTTGTTGGTGTGCTCTTTCTCACAACAAGGAGATCGACCCATTGATGCGTATCTTCTCTCTATACCCGGTTCACTCCCGGGGTCAATAAAGGGTCGTGATCTTACACAGATGAGCTAACTCCAAAAAACTCTTTCACTTAAGCGCGCACACTCACAAAGATACATAGAGAGATGATGAGGCTTGGGGCGGCTTCTGGGTTTTCCAAAGGAAACTTACAAAGACAAAATTGTGGTGAGGAAGGCAGGCAAATTTAAATAAGTAGGTTAGGTTGAGTTGAGACTGTTGTCCAATTTCTGCTATCCAATTTGCGGTCCACCAATTAATTATTGACACATCATTTTACATTAAAATGCCACCTATTTTTAAGCATAAAGAGTCGTTAGAAAAAAGTTAAACATGTTTATTTAGAATCATGTGTTGATAATTAATCTGGTGAATGGTATATTGGATTACAGATCACAACTCGATTAGGATAGGCAAAAGAAAATGGACTCATACCCTCACCTTAAAGTTGCAGGAGCTTGACCAAATTAAAGTTGAAGAAAAACTCTTTGAGTGGTTGAAAATGCAAATTAAGTTAGTGCTGGATTTGGTAGGTAACACTGCTTTTTCTATGCAGTTGGAGTTATTCACTTTTTTCGAATCCCATGTTCATTGTTTTAATTATTTCCTATCAGCATCTGATGCTGATGCACTTATTTTCTTGTTCTCTTTTCCTCCACCCCATTCGTTTTTCCACGTTAGATCCCTCGAACATTATTTCTATCGCATTACCAACTCGCATATAATTAATTATTTTGACCTTTCAATCTACTTTTTTACCTACAAAATCTTGTCTGGATTAGGTACAATAATTGTTGCATACAAGGATGCATTATGGTACAAAATTTTAGTTTATTTATCAGTCGATTCAAATACATTTTTCTGTAGAAATCATTAGATTATATTTGGATGTAGGGTTATAAATTTTTTGACTACGTCCCATTCTCACTCTCTTATTCACCACAACAAACTACCACTACCATTGATGCATTTAAAAAATTTTGAATAATAAATATAGATTAAAATCATACAACATTTTCCCTACAAAATTGTTTAACTAATCTTGAATTGGAGAAGTATCCTTTTTTATGTTGGACATAAGGTCAATCGTTCCCGTGTGAAGATCATTGCAACATTTCATCTAGGATATCTAATCTAATTTGCTTCCCTAACTTTCGTCTCTCAGTGTAACTGTCGATCCAACAGAGTGCTTTCGTCATTGGTGTCTTCAGTCGAGATTCGACATTTTTTAACCACGAAACACTCAATTTCCATTTCGATTGCATGTGTAACCAACCTTCCTTCTAGTCACGTCCGTGCCCAAAAAAAGAAAAAGAAAAAAAAAACCTGAAAAAGTAGTTATAATAAATAATTGGTTAACAAAAACATGTCTGACCAGCCGGCCGCAAATTCCCACATATTCTGCAAAACTTCCCACCAAACATGTTTTCCTTTTAGAAAATGGTAGTATTTGTTGCAGTCCCAACTACTTATACTTATTTCCACTGCACTTTTATGTTTCAAATTAAAGTTTCTAGAAAGATACAACAACTCTTTCCACTTACTCAAAAAGCGTCAATCTCCCTTTCCATTCCGTAAAATATCAATGCTCACTTTTTAACTCAAATTTACGAGCTTGTTTGGTAATACTAAAAATTCAATTAAAATTGAAAATATAGTCGTTATTGGGTCACATCCGTCTAATAAAAGTCAACAATAACGACTAGTTTTTCAATTTTAATTCGATTTTAATCTCTACCAAACACACTCTACATATCCTTTTCTTTGTTGGAATTGGAATTTTAAACACCCATGACCCGGTTTCTATGGCCTCGCCTCAATCTATTCCTATTGAAATTTTTAAATTTTAAACAAGTATTTTATATATATTCATCAACATTACATTCAAACATTATCATCCTTATGAACGCTAAACCTAGATTGAAGAAGTCACCAATGCAAGTTATTTTGTTGTCGTACCAAAACATGTTACATTATTTGATACCAATTCATGTTGATCTGACTTACTAAATTCAGTTTTATTTATTTGATACCTAAATGTTCCTTCGATGTCACTAATCTACTTGAACGCAACCAAGTGCATGACCCATCTTTCGCCTAAAAGAACCACACGCTCAGAATTGCAAATTAAGAATTTCGTATGCAATCGACAAGCTAGATTTAACAAAAGAAAAATAGTTACAGAAAATGTTCACCCAAATGATCAAAGGATATTGGTTCACACAACCCCTAAACCCTCTCACATGAGGTGGGTCCCGAGTGGAATTTTTCACGTGATTTTTTCGTGTACTTGCACTGGTTCTAGTTTTATAGCTTATGATTTCGCAAAATATTTTTTATCAGATCATCTCATTTTAGATTATCAAAATAAATAAAAAGTGAGAAGGGGTATATTGTAATTATAATAATTCAAAGATAGAAAGTTTCAGTTTATTATCCTTGTTACAATTAAAATAAAAATAAACTGCGTTTATACCAAAATGATCACTGAAAGGAAAATTTCACTATAGTTCAATAAAACTTATAGGCTTGTTCATGTTGATCACTGAGCTTCAATTTGTTTCAAGACAATCCCCACCTTACATCTTCGTTCTAGTTTGACCCTTCATGACAAAAACTAACAGCTAATCGCCCATAGCTAATAAATGTGTCCTAAACATTTTTTTTGTTGTCAAAAATGGAGTTTTTGCTAACAAGAAAAACCTCGAATGATTGAATTAAAAATTAATTTTTTTTCCTTAGTACGACCCATTTTCAATTTATTTGGAAAGTAATTTATAATTTATTGTAAATCAAGTGTCTCGTCTTAAAATCCATTAGTCACATGGAACTGATCATTAGTATTAATCACGATTACAGATGAAATTGTCAAACTAAAGAGAAAGTGTAAACCCCTGTTCGGTCTGAATTAAAATCTGATTTTAATCAAAGTCAAAGTCAAATAGTCAATATTAACAATATCTTTCATGGGTCCCACAACTTTTCAACCACACATTTCAAAAAATTATATCACAATCTATTGAAAATCAAATTTTAATCTCCACCAAAGTATGACATAATTCTATACCAATGATTTTGGCCTAGAGTCTTTATCACTGTTCATTTGTAATTATAAAGAAGCTGAATATATACCCACCAGAACTTACCTAACCCTATCTACCGAAAAATGATCCCATCATTCACATTAAATGTGATCTTATGGAAAGATTAATTTACTAAGTAATTAAGAATTAATCCGGCTTCTAGAAAGGTATTAAAATAATAATTTTGGTTAGGTGACCCACCTCCACTTTTTGCATACATTTGTATATCATGTAGGGGACTGGACCATTAATAAATTGGTCCTTCAAATTTGGTTATGTTGTTTTCAATATTTTGAGGTCATAGATTCCTTTGACTTCGAGGTGCCAACCATTTTTTCTGTATATATCATTATGTAATTGTTTGATACCATTATTTTCAAAATATATTTTTCTTCCTCTTTTTTTCAATTACATATTTTTCAATAAAATAATATTAAATGCAAACTCAAAATTTTTTATTATTTTTTAACCACACATTCTCCATCAATTTATTGTTACAAAATGTATTCTGATTCAAATAATGAGACTCATATTTGGATGTAGGATTATAAATTTTTTGACTACATCCCATTCTCACTCTCTTATTCACTAGAACAAACTACCACCTCCGACGTATTTTAAAAATTCTTGAATAATAAATATAGACCGAAATCGTACAACATTTTCCCTACAAAATTATTTAAATCCGTAATTCATACTATGATCTTTAAGAGAGAATATATAGCTCAACCCAAGTTCCTACATATTCTGCAAAACTTCTCACCAAACATGTTTTCCTTTTATGTTTCGAGTGATACTACAAGTACATAATGATATACATAATTACAAGTGTCATTGATCAACACCTTTAATTCAAATCTGATATTTTCACATCAACGACAGAATGATTATCACATCACATTATATCATCCATTGTGTACATTTATTGTGTACACTTCGCATTTTCCATATGTTTCAAATTAAAGTTTCTAGAAAGACTAAACTCTTTCCACTTACTCAAATAAGGGTCAAATTTCCTGTCAGTAATCATGACAAAACCTAACAGCTAATCCCACATAGCTAATTAAATGCGTGTCCTAACATTTTTGTGTTGTAAAAATGGAGATTTTACGAAAAAGAAAAACCTCGAATGATCGACTTAAAAATTCAATTTTGTTCTTCGTATGACCTATTTTCAATTTATTTGGAAAGTAATTTATAATTTAATGTAAAACAAGTCTCTCGTCTTAAAATCTCTCAGTTACATGGAACTGATCATTAGTATTAATTACGATTATAGACGAAATTGTCAAACTAAAAAGAAAGTGTATGTATGAAATAATTATATACCAAATGATTTTTGCCTTGAGTCTTTATCAACTGTTCATTTTTAATTATAAAGAAGCTGAATATATACCTACAAGAACTGACCTAATTATGAGTTTAAAACTGTTTGGGAGGAGAGAATAATTAAGAATTAATCTTCCTTCTAGAAAGGTATTAAAATATTAATTATGAGTTTAAAATTGTTTGGGAGGAGAGAATCTGATATGGTTAGGTGATCCACCACCACTTTTTGCATACATATGTATATCATGTAGTGAACTGAACAATTAATAAAGAATTTTGCTTGTGTGCCAGAAGAGATGCATCCACCTGGGTGACCGACCCTCACAAGAGGGTGGGACCGATGCGGGACTCATGTGTAATAAAAAATGAAAAAAAAGGCCCCACCCCCTCCCAATGTGTCTATCCTGTCAGGGAGGGTGCCACACCCTCCTTGGCACTGCAGCACTTCTCATTAATAAATGAATCATGATATCGCAACATAATGATTGATTTAATTCTTGACATAATATCACATGATATCTCATCATTAGATTGTTTTAAATATAATCAACATCCCCATCATATGA